ATATATATATATACATATATATATTTAATTCAGATGATTTAGGCTTCTCATGTTTAGTGAGTAGATAACTCAAAGAAAAAAGTGAAATAAATTTGCAGATAAATAAATAGAAGAAAATGCAAATAAAGTTCAAAGTGTATAATAGATAGGATCAAAGTGTGTAAGAGATAACTTGAAATAGGTAGAAAAGGTCCAAAGGGAAATGAAGTGGGAGGCTTATGGGAAAGGAAAGAAGGGAAAAGAAAAAACATGAGAAAAGGAAAAATGGAAACAACGTCTCTGTAAATAGGGAAGGGTGGAGGGACTGAAGAGAGGGCAGGGAAATAGGGGAAAAAATAAGAGCCAAGGTATATGATATAAAGGTACAAATCTTCAAAGATGAATGTCATTGTACTGTGTACCTAAAACTTACCAATAAATGCAATGAATAAATATATAAATAAATAGATGAAAGATGGGTTAATGAATAGATAAGTGGGTGGCTAATGGGATAGTGATAAAGATATAGGACAGCTAATTTTAAAGAGTAGGGATTTGTCTGAAATGACTACTCCTCCATTCTTAGAGGTAGAAATATTATTATGGTAGGTTTATACAGGTCATGGCAATTAATAATACAATCTCGGTGCTATTTCTTATTTTAGAAAAGGTTTTACAGTTTTTGTCGTTTTAAATTTCCATTTTTTTTCCAAATTGATTTTTCAGTTACTTTCCCATTCATTCTGCCACTTCTACAAAATAGTTACTAACAATTAGATGTGAAGATTTGGCCTCTGTAGTCCTCTGTGTGTGTCTGTACGTGCATATGTGGGACTCTCTAAGCATTGCTGTGCTTTTGCAAATTTTCAGAACTATGTGTTTTCACCATTTTACTATTAACTATGTAATCACTTTTTTTAACATACTGAATCATATGAATTGGAATAAAAACTACGGTGAATGCACATAGTTTTAAAAATGGAGCAAAATGCATTGCTATTAATCCCTCTTGCTTAGAACACACCCCGTTTTTCTTACTGTTTAGGAATTTTGTTCTCAGTTGTGGTGTCTTGGCTACCCAAATGCCCTAATCCTTTCTAAATCTTTTCTTTCACGGTCATTTACTTTGAGAAAAAGCAGGAAATTGCATGCTGTCAGATCCGGTGAATAAGGTAGAGGAGCAGCACCACAATATTTTTGACTGAAATTGCCATAAATGGTTGATCAACAAAGTGCTATCATAACACACGGTGAATGCTTAACTTAAAAAAATATATTACAGAAAATGACACATCGTCATCCGTTCCCTCAAAATAGATCCCTTCGCTTCACGCACAATTATCTTATTGTTCTTGATAACAGGCCTTTTATTGTAATAAGATCTTAAAAATGTAAACTCACTCTATTTCTGATTACCGTTTGTAAAACTAAATTTAATGGTATGATAAATTAGTTTAAAAATTCATAGTTTACAATATTAATTTGTTACATTCCAGAACTTGAGTTTAGTCGTGCCTCTCAGAATAGTTTTATTATTTTCCTTTGAAAAGTTCTGTGATTATCCTCATTAAAATTATTTTTAGGAATGCTCACTTTGACAGAACATATGCTCAAAGTGGAATGACGCAGAAAAAAATACCATGGTTCCTATGAAAGGATAATATGCAAATTTGTGAAATATTTCATATTTAGGCCCTCACCTTTTACTACCTGCGACCTCCGCAGGGATGCAAGTTGTTGTTAATAATATACATTATCCTTATATATAATATACATTTTATATATTCATATGTGTAAAGACTGTTATGTAATATATATAAGAATATATATATTCTTAGAATATGCATGGTCCCATGTTCTGATGTGCTATTCAATATTCTTTTTTAGATCCTCAGTAGTATCAGTTCCTTGGGCTTTGTAGCTGCTCCCTTTATGAATTTCCAGTGGACCCATGACACTTAATTCTCAGCCTTAGATTTCCCAAGTCTTTATGACAACCCTTTTCAAATGTCACATTACAAATGTTACTCTATGTCTACATTGATCCTAAATCCCATAACGTTCTCATTATCAAACACTGTTTCATTAGTCACTTGAAAGCTTTCAGGAGAGAGATCACAGTTCTCAGCTGCTCAGCACTCTCTGATAACTAATAAATCCTCTTTGTACACAAGCTTCTGTGCTGGGTCCTTTGTCTTGTACTTGTCATAAAGAGAATCCCAATAAATCCATTGATATGTATTTATTTTCTAATATTAAGTGGTCGTATTCTCAAGTACTATAGATGCAGGAATATTCAAACCGCTTTGGTAGAGAGAAGGAAATTGGTGTCACAAAACAGACTACATATTTTTTTACAAATCTTCCTGAGTAATTGCTTTTGTACTAGATTTGAAATGCTATGTTTCTGAAGATAAAATTCCACACAACATATCTTTGCTCTCTGACTTTGTAAAGAGATACAGAATATTTTGGTTATTCTCATCCTGAAGATTTTTTTTTTCTCCCAAAGCTAACCTATTTGAAAATGGTTTGGATGATATATTGCCTGTGTTCCTCTATGCTTTCTTACAAGATTTTTTTTGTGTGTGTGTGCTTGTGTAATGAGCAGCAGTTATATCAGTCTCATTATTCAAATAGAAATAGATAACAGGAAATGTGAGTCTGAATTAAAGTTCCGCTATTTATTTGGTGCAAAGTCAAAAGCAACTCTGAATAATATTCTTTGGTGCCTACTTCTTTACTACATAAGTTATTGATGAAAAGTAAGGCTGGTCTTACCAGTATTTTGTGATAACTGCAATACAGTAAAAAATAAGTAGAAGGCTAGTCTGTATTGTGAGAGTCATTGAAAATATTTTATGCTTCTAATAATCAGTTTCTCCTTCAGTTACCTCAAGAGGACACCTCACTGCAAGAATGGGATTTGTAGCAAGAGCTTTATGTTTATGTTTATGTGAGTAGAAGGAAATAATATTTAGAATTTAAACTTTTGTTAAAAGTTATGTTAATCTAGGAGCCGGGGATTTAGCTCAGCGGTTTGGTGGCCTGCCTTGCAAGCGCAAGGACCAGAGTTCAATCCCTGGTACCAAAAAAAATAAAAAAATACAAAAAAGTTATTTTAATCTGAAAAGCTTTTCAAATGCCCATTCTTCTGGGATGTAGGATGCAAATATAGGCATTTTGAGTAGGAAAACAAATTCCAGTAATATCACAAAATGTTTTAGAAATATCGTTTAGATTTGTGACTTTAAAATAAAATTTAATTATTATGCTGTAAACACAAAAATTATGGAACAGATTGTCATAAAATCTTTACAATTTTCCAAAAGCTATAAAGTCTCATGCAAATTTCAGGACCAAGGCTAACCTACACTATTTGTGTAATATCCAAGTGAAAGCCTATTTTGAAACCTTCCAATATTCCCTCTAGATTTTCATCCAGATTATTTTCTAATACATTTTCAAAGAAAAAAATCTACTGTTCTCGTAATGTGGTAGTAATTCATTTTATCCAGGTGAAAGGTCCTATAAACTCATTCAACTAAAACAATGCATAAATGTTTAAGAACATAAATTTTATTTTTAACATATTTTCCTATTTCATTTCAGAGAATACTTCACAAAAAGAAAAAAAAAAGACCTGATAGAGGTTCACTTATATTACAAGTTTTACATTTTGTTTTTAGCATAATGGTTTTGCTCTTTGGATTATGCTTTATAAAAAAAGATGAACTTTTAGACATTCTTGAAATAAAAGCTGATTGTATAAATTTATAGCATATTTGAAAATGTTTATGTTATTGCTCAAACTTTCTAAGTTAAAGGATTCTTGTTTGATATAAGCTATGAAAAATGTCACTATTAATATTGAAGTGAAACTTCTAAGGAACATAATGGACATTTAATGTTCTTGGTAATCATTTTTTAGAAAAAAATCACATTAATGTTAATTTTGAAGTTCTTCAAATTGAAGAAGTACTTTACAATTAGATCACTGTAATTTAAATATCTAAGCCAAACAATCTAATGCAACTGAAACTGTGCTACCAAAACGCAAGATTGGTATTCATCTCAAAACTTTATCTCATAAGATATGACTTTACTCTCTCCACAGAAAATGTGGACATAGCTGTTACACAGCATTGAGTAGGCTTAGGGAATAACACTTCTTTGTATGAAATAAACCTGTTTATCACTTTTAAGGCTTATTAATTGAATATATAAAATGGTAGGTTAGGTGAGGATAACTTTTCTCTGCTTTTCAGTATTATCTTCGAATTACAACATAAGTTCCTTACATCAGTGCCACTTTATAATCATGAATAATAAGGTGAAATAAATCTGTGACCCTGAAGGAGTAGCAGAACAGATCCATAAGGAGCTGACCCACTGCATACACAGATATTACTCTTCTTAGGCTTTACTATACATGAAAGAAGCACAATGTACTGTATGCTTTAAATCACTATTTTATTACATATTATATTTTCTGATAGAATGAGATAATTCATATGCATACAATTTCATTGTACAGCTCAGTGGTTTTCCTATAAATAGAAACTAATGCAGCTGTCACAACAACACTCCACATTCTTTACCACCCACACTGTATGTGCTCCACATTCATAGCCACAGGCAGGCACCGTTTTGTAGGTAGAGATTTGCCTACTCTGTGGGTATTATCTAAACAGAATCATAACATAAGCCTTTTGTGAGCATTTTACTTACATTTTCATGGTTTATCGATACTCTAGCATTTGTCGGTGTTTCATTCCATTTTATTGCCCAAAAATTCTAATACAGGATATGTTTTATTTCTAAAATATTTTACTTGTCCGTATGTCACTTGACAGTCATATGATTTCTTTTCTCTTTCGCGATGATACAAGCAATGTTTCTTCAAACATTTCTATGAGTCTGAACACAAGTCTTTAGATTTCTTTTCTGTTTCTATATATCTAAGATCAGAAGTATTGGTTTTATGGTAAGTACATACAGAACCTGGCAGACGTCTTCCATGGTGAAGATATCATATTACACACCCATTAACCACATAGTAGCATTCAGTGTTGGCCCCACCCTCAGCCACCTGCTCTTTGCTATAACAACCCTCTGCACAACCTGGGTTGTGCCTTCTACAAGATCAACGGGGCGTGGGGGGGCTTCTGCTCCTGCTTCCAGTCTGCTATGAAGACTGCTGGTTAGGGTTGGCCCAACAGCACCACCTGGTCCTAGTAACTAAAAATCACCTGATGAGTTTTTAAAATTACTTCTGAAAAATTCCTTTTTACTGTTGCCATATGACAAAACCTAATCAAGGAGTCTATATCCAATCATGAACTCTGGTGCTTTCCAGGGTCTAGGAGTTAATTAAACAAAGTCCTAGGCCACTTCAGGGAGAGTCTTTTAAAAGTCTGCCTTCCATATCAGTAAAATAAACATTAATTTCATAAATATTATACAAAATAATTTATAAGTCCTTGTGTTGACTTTTTAAGTAACTAGAAAGTCTAATATACATTATACTTTTTCTAATGAGTGGATTTTCAGCTCTTAAAAATCAGAAAACTCATAATATTTCAAATCAAGCTATTTTTTTAAAAAGCAAATATATTAATGTGATAAAACAAATCATGATAAACATTATAAATAAATTGAGTGGAAAGAAATTATGGCCATTATAACCAGGATAATCAGAGGAAGTCTCTAAATCTGAGTAGGAATTAGAAAAATGAGTACAATGTTGCCATAAAAGTCTATAATGAAAATATATTCCAAATAGCATAATTAAGGAAACATAAAGATAAGTAAGAAGCTATCATTTTTAGGGCTACAGAAGAAGAATTGTAACATGCTAGCAAAAAGGCAAAACTCAGGTAGTCCTGTAGGCAATCAAAAATAAAAACAGACAACAAAAACAAACTATACCTTTTATTTTAATTGCATTGTAAAGCAATGAAGGAATTTTGTGTAAGGACAGTAATGATTTTTTAAAAGATTGCTGTAGCTCTTGCTTTTTTAAAAATTTAATTTAATTCATTGGTACATTCTAGGTAGACAGTACGATTACTTTGAGGATGATGTTTTAACAGCTAAAATTCAGAAAAGGAAGAAAGGAGACCAAATGAAAGCCATACTATTATTTTTAAAACTTTAGACTAAGGCAGTAGCTGTTGATGTAGGATGAGGAAGATGAATTTGGAATGTGCTTTGGAAGTAGACCAAATGGACTTCGAATTTAGATGAAATGTACTAAAAGTGAAGAACAGAAGAAAAGTATTTCTATACTCATTTTAGAAATTAAGTCCATTTAAAAGGCTGCTTCATTTTTTAAAGTTTAGATTTATCTATTGAAGATGATGTAGGGCTGGGGATTTAGCTCAGTGGTTCTGCCACCTGCCTTACAGGCACAAGGATCTGAGTTCAATACTGGTTACAAAAAAACAAAAAATGCTAAATACTACTATTGAAGATGATATAACCAGAGATAGTCCAATCAAATAGCAAGGAGCAAGTCCTGAGTGAAATTATTTGGCTAAATAAAAATTTATTTTTTTAATATTTTAGCAATTAGATAAATGAAGAAAACTTTAACGATTGAATATAGAACTAAGAAAACATTACAACAGTGATTGTGATTTTCTCCTAATAAAATCGTGTAATATGTACACAATTGTGTCAAGAACCACTGGAAAAAAGTAACATAAAATACAAAACAATGTTTTTCCACCAGATGTGAATGACTGTGTGTGATTGCACTAATTTATCTTTGTACCTGAAAAGTCTAAAGCTGTTACCAGACTCCTGGAAATTCACGGGATGGACAGCGCTCCCTTGAGATAGAGAAGAAGTGAATTAGCAAACATTAAAAGAACCAGGTGAGCTTCTCAGCACCATCAGTGAATTCAGGAAATAATATAAGCTCATTAGCAATCATTTAAGCTAATGACACATTTGATTCCTTTAGAGAATTTATATCTCCATTTGTCTTTCTATTTTTATTTAGTAATTATGCCAGTAAATACATTATTAATCTCTGTTTATGTTTTTGCAGATTTGAGAAGATAAACTGTCACCTAATTATTATACTCTGGTGTATTAGAAAAAAATTAGTAGCTAAAGGATCAAAAAAACTCAGTGATATATTGTGAATAATGTATTGTTGCTATTATAAACATTAAAAGCAATTAATTTCTCCATCATACTCTAAAAGTACCTTTAAGGATAACACAACTAACAGCCATGAACATATTCATATACAGTCCTACATGATAAGACAATAAATAAAGGCAGTACAATGTACTCCATGGTAATTTTAATTATTTTATATGCAATTTTCTATAATATTGTTTTAGTATGAATACTAATATCTGTCATCAGACATAGAATATACACATATATGAATTAATAATTGGTTTAAAATAATTTAAAGCAAAGGAATTATATATGTCCTTTTTAAATACTACTGTTATTGGAGTTATTCTTGACATCTAGGATAGGATGGAATATAAATGTCATCACATTTAAGAAATAGTTTCATCTGTTCAAAATAAAAATGATGGTTATAGTTTACATTATTCTCATACTTTAATTGAATTCTATCATTTGCTCTGTAATATAATTTACTACTTCAGAAATTTCTCTTCATAATGACCTTCCCTATCTATCTATATATCATAGTGAAAATATATTATACTCATTTTATTTCCTAAGGGGATAGTATAATACCCTTAGTTCCTATGGTAAAGAATTCAATAAAGTGCTGATGTTTTTTTTAAAAATTAGAAAAAACAGATAAAACATATGTTAGGAGAATAAAAGAAACAAAATAAATATTAAATGATAAATTTTGGATCTGGAATGCTCCCAAGGACTGATGTGCAGTAAGCTTGGTCTCCAGGTGTTACCACAAGTAGGAGGTGGCGGAAACACTAGAAGCTTGGCTGGCTAGAGCAG